TTTCCTTCATCATCAACAGCTGAAAGTAATAAATCAAGAAGATCAGGGCTATTTGACCAAGTCGATGATTGTCCAAAAACGGTTATTGTGATAGGAAAAATATTTGATCCACCATACTCATTGAAGGATGAGCAATAACAATCAGTATTACAATAAATATTCGATGACGACGTATTTTGCATTAGTAGTTGTTTCGAAGCTCGATCTACATGCACAAGACGCAGTGATAAATAATGTAACTGTATTAAATTCAACTTATAAATCGACTCGTTTTCATTTCTGTTTATCTGATTTATATTTCGATAGAAGCGTTCCGATAGCTTCAACAGTTTAATTGGATATGATAGGGATCATCAATTTTGGACCTACAGGACGTAATTCTGCATCAATCATCCAACAAGGTCGTTCACATTCACTACTTTCAACCATGAATCGATTATGACGATTAATGCTTGGAATATATAGAGCATAAAGATTTGTATTTTTTACGTTGAAGAAAAATAAATCGCAATATTACTCCAATAACTTGACATTAAATGTAACGTTCATTTTTTGCCAGAACATATAGTGAAATAGGTACAGTTCTCTTCGGAACGTTTTCTTGTTGTTAGTTCAAAAATAAAGAAAAAAAGGAATGCTTAACATTCTTAATTGGCATCGCAACATAATTTTCTTCTATGATAACTCATGGTTCCCTAGTCAATGAGATTCGGTGTAACTGTGTTGAAAGATGAGAGATATAATAAAATGTGGAAACTTGTTCGTCAAAATTAATTATCATATTACGTTATAAACAAAAAAAAATTTGTGATTTGGTATATGAAAATACATGCCTTTATTGTTAAGTTCTCTTGGCGAAACAGAATGCTACTCTTTATGTCTACTGTAACTCCGTACAATTTTCCAATTATTTGTTTTTGTATCAGCCAGTCACTACTAATGTCCTTTCTTATTATAGAAGATCAATTAAGTTTCATTGATTTTTATTTGTTCTGGTTTCTGCAAGATAATAATGAATTTGCTCTTGAGAAAAGAAAAAAGTAATTAATTATCTACAGGATTCGCAATAGGATTTTTTTTCACTATTTCAAAACAGATGAACTAGGTTAAATAGTTTTTTTTCACAAAACCTTACCTATATAACATTTTCATCTTTCAATTTCTACTCAACTATACTTTCATAAAATAGGTATGAACCATTCTTCCTTGGAAAGTATTAAGATTTAAACAAAATTTTTACGATACTTTTTTCATCGAAGTCTTGAAGATTAATAAATTTTCTCCTTTTTTTTCATCCTGAACAAGATATATTGATTGAACAGATCGTGAATAATAAAAGGACCCATTGTAGACAGATATCAAAAACAAAATTAATCAAAGAAGACAAGTTCTGTTTCACTGTTTAATGCGATCATCGTACTATAATGAAATACTATCTCGATTGGTGTTACATTTACAAAAAATTAACAGATAAAGAATATACGTAAAAATGTAATCACTTATTGTCATATTATCAACATGGTGGTTCGTGATCATCGATACGTGGATGGTGTTCAAAATTCGTTTACAATAGAAAAATCACATTCTACTATTGAAAAAAATATATATAGGATGTTTTTATCTGAGCCATTGAGACAGAATAAAATACATGATTTTTATATCATAATAAACAATCTCTTAATATTTGATAGTTTTTTTTTACAAGAACAACTAAAACCAAAACGATTGGGCGCGTATGAAGAACCAAAGATAAAATTTTCCAGAAACATCAAGGAATACTTTCGCATTCAAATTCACATTGAAACTTAATGATATTGATTATTGACCGATGCGAATTGGGCTTGATTCTTTGGCATCTAAATGGGCGAAACAGAAATGAATTTTTTGATATAATCATTCTTAATGGCACCAGATTTGCTTGGTCAATGAGGACGAACGTCATCTGTTTGGTTCTAACCAGCTGCTGGAATTCGCATCACCGCTGTGTTATTTTCCATGTCAGGAATAATAGGCAAAAATCCCGTAGCTACTTCGTGCCAAACAAACTATTTACACATATTTTTTTCAAAAATGGATGAATGGATAAGATTATTTTTCCTGAGCTCAACTCTAGTAATGAGTCCCCAATATTCTCAGTAGACATCCATTGTTGATGAAATTTCGTCAACTCAAACAGATGGTTTAAATCCTACCCAGGTGTCAATAGTACGAGCTAAATGAATTTTCTTAATCTAAGTGTCAATGATGATTCATGCAGAGAGTACAAAATGAATGAAATAGATTCATTGAGTAATGTTGGTAGGTCTAGATCTTTTTAAACTAGTACGATGACATACAAAAATATTGGTTTTCTATTTTCCTTGAGTATGCGTGGTAGATTCTTTTGACAATAAATGATATTCAAGTACATGCTGATTATTTACTTTTTGTCGTTATTATAGTTTAAACGGAGAAAAAATTACAATACATATTGAATTTTATTATATTTCATCTAAATCCATTCTCAAACTATTTCATAATTGGCCGATCATTAATTTTTCGTTCTACTTCCACTAACACAAAGTCTTTTCTTTTTACAAGGATAAAGTTTATTTTTATTTTTTAATGCTGGGTTTTAAAAAATATCAAGATTCAGATTCAATTGTAATATTCAGACTGACAGACAAACAACATAAAAAAACAACAGAAACTACTGTCACAGATCATTATGCTTGTTTTTACCATCTCACATATTTCATAAACTTGGAGAATCTAATTAAATCAATAAATATATAGAACACAAAAGACAATATCTATCTATATATATATGCATAACGTTTATATTAATGTTTTCTTGTTTGTATTTATTTTTCATTTGTGAATGATTGAATCATTCGATTAATTTCATTATTGAGATCATTTGTACGTTGTTTTTGAAACATATCGTCCATTGTATTTCCATAGACTTTTATCATTTCATTGAAATAATAAAAAAATGCCAAAATCTAAAAATAGAACTTTATTTTTATAAAAAAAGATCAATTAAGGAAATGACTACCATAAAAAGTGAACATATAACGAGAATAACGGAAATTAAATTCCAAAGTAATGCACGACGAGCATAAAGTCGAGCTTTATCATGAAATTTTACATCAGCTTTAGCTGAACTTTTTAATGAATAAGCCAATGCAATAAGACCTTAAGAAAAAAAAAAACAGCTATGCAATTTCATTAATTATAATGAATACCTGTTGCGGGACATAAACAAATAGCCGAAAAGAGTGAGAATACAAAATAATGACGAATACGAACAGGTGGCTGTTGAATATTGATTGATCCATCGATGAAAACAGCTGATGATGATGGAGCTATTGATATAAAAATATCAAAATTTGTCTTTGTTTTTCTCTATAATTTATATCTACTTTCAGTTGCTGACATTTTTTCATAAGGAAAACCCATTTGTTCTTTTTTTGTTTTAATGAAATAAATATCTACAACAATATGTATATATATATGTATAGTAAAGAAGTTATTGACAAAGTTATCTTTAAGTGAAGAAAAAAACAACTTAGCAGTAGGTTGTTGTTGTTTTTGATTGAGTGAAAGGAAGAGAGAAAAGAAAAACATCGCAATCATTCATACTGACATCTATTTTGACAAGTTTTTTTTGATTAAATTTTCATTGGCGTATTAAGAATATTATATCGATAAACAATAAAGTCATATCTTGTATATGATACGATCTTAAAAGTTTGAAAACGATGCCAACAACAGCTTCTAATCAATTATCAACTTCATCACAGAAAGACAATATTATTGATTTATGTACATCAGTTGGAGAAGCATTTACAAAATTTGGTATTTTATTACGTGACCTTGACTTAAGTAATCAACGATCATTATCAAGTAATGAGCAAGATCAACAATTAATTGGTTGGGATGAACAAAGTTCAACAATGTTTCGTCAAGCTATACAAACATTTGCAATAAATGTACGAGATATTTCAACTGCTGTAGCAGAAAAACGAATTCGTGAACGATAGTTTTGTTTTTATTATTATGTTCACTTTTGTTATCTTTTTTTTTTGTGTACAATTAGTTGCTGTTTGTTAATAGTGTATAGAAAATGAAAAGAAATCCAACCGAAAATGTGTTTATAAAACAGAACGTTGTTCTTGTCATAAAAAAGATATATTTTGTGGTAAACAAGATTTATTTAAGAAAAAACAAGATACTAAAATTAGACAAGAAGTAATATCTTTATTAAATTTTAGATAATCTTTATTTGTTTATTTCGATATTAATCGATGATGAACACTTTTCTAAGCATTGACTGGTTAATTTCCTTTCATCAAATGATAAAATCTAACAGAACAACAAACTTTCATCAAATTATCGAATAAATAAATCAAATCTAAATTAATGTTATATTTTGAAATAATAAAAGAAGGTTCGAAGCTTGATGATATTCTAGTGTTAGTTTGTATTAACTTCAATTCATTTTCATCAATCATCACATTTTATTGATTGATATTGTTTTCATTCTTATGAAATTTAATATTCACACATTCTAGCTTATTTAACCATAACAAATGATTAATGATTAGACTTATTTATTTTATGAAAGAGATTTTCATTTTTTCTGTTCCTTTTTCTAGATTAATTAGTATGCATTCATCAATGAATAATGCATTAAAATTAGTAAATTTAATTCAATCGAATATCCGAAAAACTATTCTTCGAACTTTATTCAATTCATTTACAACGAAACCAATTCAAAAAGCTAAAGATGCTCATTCAAATTTACTTACTGATACAGAAAATGTCTTTGAACTTCAACATCATACTGTTAAACCAAGTTCAATGGTAAAAATAAATTTTCTAATCTTTTCCGTATATAATAACTATTATTATGCATATCAGCATGGTATCCTCATGACATTTTCCTGAGTTTAATCATGCAATATGTTTGTCCTAAGAGAATATTTTTTTCTTCTTCTTCCATTTATTATGAAAGAATAGAGTCATTAGTCTAGCTGAAGTTAGTTGTTGTACTTTTCTTTTTGTTTTCGTTTTTAGTTCTAATAAATTGTTTTAGAACATCAGAATTCCATTCATCATGTTCTTGATTTCCGATCATATCCGTAAGGCTTACTTCCTTAACGGAAATAAGTTTTAAATCTATATAGAAGAAACAAGATTCTTATCAAAACTATTCCTGATACTATCTGTTTATGGTAGACAACAGTTGTAGGCAATACATCAAAACAATGCAAGACAACATATTTTTGCATTCCTTTCTCTCTATAAACAGTTACCATACAAAAAAGAACCAAATGTAATAATCGATCTATAATCTAGACAACAACACTCATGACTATGTTCCTGTTGCAGAAAAGAACAAAGTTCTTCATACGGAGATAAGTTATTTGAAATAAGCGACTGTAGAGAAAAAAACATATCGTTGTAATACTAGGAACAAGAAAAAGTTCCTAACCAATAGCTACGAATACAACAAGTGCTATTCTAGACGCTTAAAGTATTTTTTTTTGCATCCGTCATAATTAGTTTCTTTTTTATCGTAGTTATACTATCGATTCGAATCTATTGATGATGAAATTAGATATTCGTACAGCAGAAAAGAAATGTAATATTTATTTGTTTTTAAAAAAAAACATTTTGAGATATTTCATTAAAAGTACTTGTAACTCCATAGAAAAAAGAAAAGTTGATGATAAATTATTGCACAGAAAGAAAGAAAAACAACCAGGACATTTCTTTCATTTCTTTCAAAAACATACCTTCATGCCTTAATATTCTCCAATTAAAAATAGTTCTCCCCTTTTTTTTTCCTGTATTTCAAAATATTATTCTTTCTTTGACAGTTTCTTCCGTCTTACTTCATCTTCATTATAAGATCTTTAAAGACTTCAATAAGAATAGAAGCAAAAAAAAAATGTCTTCTCTTTAAAGTAGAAAATATAAAATAATCTGTAATTTTAGAATAACTATGAATCAATTTATGGTGATTATGCATCACAAATGCTTGATAAATATTCATCAACTGGTCTTGTTCATACTGGTTCATGGAGAGTACATATTGGTAATGTTGAAAATCAATTCGTTCATATATGGATGTATAAAAGTTTTTCTCATTTGGATGAATTTTTAAATGTTTCAAATAATAATTCTCTTAATGATAAATTAAATCAATTTATTATAAAACGTTCAAATCAAATATGTCTTTCATTTTCTTATTTTGGTTGGACATTTTGTTTGTTTTTTTTTTAACATAAAACAAAATCTATATTATTTTCATATAGGAATTCCTCAACCACGTCCAAAATCTGATGATCAAACAAATCCAAATATATATGAAATGCGTTCATATTGGCTTAAACCTGGTACATTAATTGAATGGGGAAATCTGTGGCATAAAGGTGTCCAATATCGACCAGATGCAAAAGTTCTTGGTGTTTTTTCACAAATCGGAGAACTTTATAATGTTCATCATATGTGGTCATACAAAAATTTCCAACATAGAAAAAAAATGCGTACTAATGCATGGGCAAAACCTGGTTGGTCAGAAAAGTATGAATGACGACTTTTAATTTTTGTTTTGAAGGAAAATTATTTTCTTGAATTTTAGTGTTGAATTTACAGTACCATTAATTAGTAAAATGGAATCAAAAATTCTTGTACCATTAAAAATCTCACCAATGCAATAAGAAATACATTAGTTGAAAGAATTTTTTCAATTTAGATTATTTCATTGGTGTAATGTTTCAAAACAAACGGTGATCATATCTATTATCAAATCATTTCATATTTTGTTCTTTTGCATGGTTTTGGGTTAACTCTTATGTTTCTTTTTGTATTGTTTAATGTGTCTTTTTTTTATTTTGATTAAAACAACGCTAGAACAGTATACATTGGAAGCTTTTTGACGTATATATGCTTCATTCAGTGATTTTTTTTGTTTATTGAAGATTTAATATATTGAAGGTGAACAATGGCACAAGCAGAAAAAGAATCTGTTTCTGATCCAACATTCGAAAAACCTATTGATGGTATTTTTAACTATGACACTGAAACTGTTGAAGAGGTAAAAAACAAAACTTTTTGTGAATGAGAAAAGAAAGAACAATTATTGTTGATTATGTTTAAATTTTTTCTATTTTTCTTTATTCCATTGACCAAAATTTGTTTTCTAAATTATTCATAGAACTATATCAAATTGGTCTCAAATTTTTTTAATTTAACTTCTTCTACTTAAAAAAAAAATAAACTTTTTTTGCAGCATGTTGACAACATTAAATATGGAGATGTAAGTTGTATGTAGTGTAGTGAAAAACAATATCTAGCTTGTGTAGAATATACATATTTCTCATCCTGACTTTCTAAACTATTCACATGAATTATCTAAATTGTGTGATAACGCTAAATTTTTGTGTTATTCTATGAAAAACGAAAACAAATTATTATCATTCTATCACTTAGTAACTCATTTGCACTTTTCTTTCGTATTGAGTTTTGACATACAAATTATTCAGATTATAACTCATCATATGGATAATTTATCATTATATTCAGTCATGAAAATATTTTAATCATGGGGACTGATGCAAGTAGTATGAAAGATAATACAATGAATTCTCAAAAAACATCAAGTATTCATAGTCCAGAACAGGAAGAAACTTTTAATCATATAAATCGGTTCATTGAGCAGAATCAGATTAACGACTCGATGGAAACGATGCAAGATGTTAAGGTAGAGAAATACTGCTATTGAGCATGAATGTTCTCATATATATAGGGTGGTTCGATTTTTCCGATTTCGTTTTTGTACATAGTCAGTTAGGTCTCATATTTGTACTACATATACACGGTGATACTAGTAAAAGATGTAGCATATGATCAATGTTTGTGTGTTGAAATTTGTTCAAAAGCATAAAAATGAATCTTGCTGCTCGTTTGTGAAGTATATGGAAAATTCGATGTTTCTTCAGTTCCATAGTTTTGTCTGATTATTTCGATCTGTGAATTGAAACCCATTTAATTACATTTTATATTGATGTAACCTAAAAGAGATCAAAATGAATTCAATGTAACTCATTTCATAGATCGGGATAAGCAAACAAGACTATGGAAATAGAACAATATCGATTTTGTCATACATTTACAGACGGGCCATAAGATATATCTGCATGTTTTTGAACAAATTATTGTGCTCAAAGACTGATTATATAGTCTATTTTTGACTATTATTACCTAGTATATATGGTATAAATACAGGACCTATCAGGCCATGTGCGAAAAACAAATGGAAAACGTTTTGTGTTTCTTTATTTTTTGGTTACCCCCTGTGTATACGTATTTTTTTTTTTTCTTCTTTTCCTTTTATGTTTTTCTTCTTTTGCTTCCGTTTGTGTGTTATATATTTTGTTGACGTCGGCCTCTTAGACGACGGATTCCATGTATCTTATCTAAGAATTTGTATTCTTCTATTACAGCACGATACAGTTGGCGAACTTCCTACAGAATTCAGCCCAATGACTGCTGATATTTCTTCACCAATGACTCGTTCTCCATTTCATAAATTTCGTGGTTCCATTGCTTGGACTGAGGGTTTTGAAAAAAATCTTCATGTTCTTGTAAAAGATCAATATCCAGATCGAGCTATGGGTGTATTTACAAGTGGTGGTGATGCTCAAGGTAGTTCGATGTGATTTATTTCATAATTTTGAAACTTTTTGTCACGTTGCTTTGGTGTTGTATGCATAAGATATTTTCTATATTTGCTTCGCACGTTGTACCCTTTTTTTTACCTAGCTTACCAGTAATCCTGTGTCAACTACTGCATCTGTAAATGAATATGATATCCATCACATAGCAACATATCATAGACAACCAAATGATTCACAACAACATGATTATTTAGCCGAAATTGGCAAGGAAGGTCACTATATTGCAAAAAACCAATTTAGCGGCCGTAGTCTTGCCGTATTTACTAGTGGTGGCGATGCACAGGGTACAAAATAACATGCTTTGCCCAGCTTCTACACTATTTTAATGCTTATTAATTAATATGACACTTTCTTCATACTGATTTGAATGAATATTAAACCGTTTTCTAGGAATGAACCCGGCTGTTCGTGCAATAGTTCGTATGGGTATCTATCTTGGCTGCAAAGTTTATTTTATACATGAGGTTTATAAATAACAATTAATTTCACATAATAAAATTCCTATTATTTTCTTACTAGGGTTATCAAGGTTTAGTTGATGGTGGTAATAGTATTCGTCAAGCAACATGGACAACTGTCTCAGGAATTAGCGACGATGTAAATACTGTTTAGGTTTTAACACTTTTTAACATATATATATATATATATATATAGAATGTTCCGAAAATCAGCCATGGAATAAAACTAAAATATCTCTTCAAGTAATTCATATGAGATTTTCATCAGTTCACAAAATGTTCTCAGGAACTTTTATTTCGTGATTGACATTTGAAACCCTCCGTATATATCATGATCTTTTGTTCGATAGGGTGGTACTATAATTGGTAGTGCACGTTGTAAAGAATTTCGTGAAAGACCCGGTCGATTACGTGCTGCAAAAAATCTTATTGATCATGGTATTAACAATATTGTATGTATTGGTGGTGATGGATCATTAACTGGAGCAAATCAATTTCGTAAAGAATGGGATAGTCTTTTAAAAGACCTTGTTGAGACAAGTAAATATGATATATTTTTTATAAACAGATAGATATTTATTTTTCTTTTTATAGAACAAATAACAACAGAAAATGCTGAAAAATATAAACATTTAAATATTGTTGGTCTTGTCGGATCAATTGATAATGATTTTTGTGGTACTGATATGACAATTGGAGCTGATTCAGCTTTACATCGTGTTATGGAAGCAATTGATTGTATAACAACAACAGCAACTAGGTAGATTTTATTGAATTATTCTATAGATTTTTTAAAATTAATTATACGTTTCTTCTAATAGTCATCAACGTTGTTTCGTTCTTGAAGTAATGGGTCGTCATTGTGGTTATTTAGCATTAGTAACTGCTCTTGGATCTGATGCTGATTGGGTATTTATTCCTGAATCACCTCCTGAACCAGGATGGGAAGATCAATTATGTAATAAACTCAAAAATGTAAGATGTTTTATATGATATTTTGTTTAATTATATTAATAAATTTTTCTTAGACACGAGAAATGGGTCAACGTTTAAATATAATTGTTATGGCTGAAGGTGCCATTGATTCTGAAGGTCGACCAATAAAAAGTGATGAAGTTCGAGAGGTAAAATTGATTTATTTTGTTTTATTTTCTTTTTTTAAATAATTTTTAATATTTCAGCTTATTTCGACACGACTTAAATATGATACACGCGTAACTATTCTTGGTCATGTTCAACGTGGTGGTTGCCCATCAGCTTTTGATCGACTTCTTGTATGTTTAAAGAGAAAACTTTATCTTTTCTATATCTTATATCATTTTATTTAGGCTACTCGAATGGGTGCAGAAGCTGTTCTTGCATTAATGGAAGCAACACCAACATCACAACCTGTTGTTATCGCTCTTAGTGGTAATCAAACAGTTCGTGTACCATTAATGCATTGTGTAGAAAAAACTTTGGCCGTTGCACAAGCAATGGAATCGAAAAGATTTAAAGAAGCTCAAGATTTACGTGGAAGAAGTTTTAAAGGCAATCTTGAAACATATATTCGTTTAAGTAAATTAAGACCAAAATTATTTTCAAATAAACAAGTAAGAAAAATAGAATCATTTTGAACATAAATAGTTTTCTATTCTTCGAAAGATCAATTGAATATTTGCATATCTTAGTTATATTCATTTATGAGCCATTCCACGTACGGCACGACCGATTCTCAATAGGGACGCTCAATCGAAGTTCTCTGATTTGGCTCGTTGTTATATATGTGATGGAGCAAAGTGTTTGAAG